CACTCACACACACACTCACACACACACACATACACACACACACTCTCACACTCTCACACTCACACACACACTCACTCTCTCACACACACACTCACACAACTGATTTCTGCGATGCAGAGAGGATCAGAGTGAATGAGTTTCATCTACTGCACACTAAAGCACATGTGATGCTCGTGATGTATTCAGCATCTGCTCTCTCTCTTTGATCTCCAGAACTGCTGAGTTCACTAGTATGTCACCTTTTCATAAAAAAAATAAAAAAACAATCAAATACACACAGAAACTCAAGTCTTCACTACAACTGCCAAAATTAAACGTCTGGTTTAACTTTAAGAAATTATGACAGAAATATATCACTATTTATAGTTTTAAAATATATATTTAAATCAAAACAGCACAAGTGAATAGGGTAAATATTTTAACTAATAAATACCACCAGTTTCACCAGATGATTAATCACAGTTTGCACACAAGTTTTTCCGAAATGTTATGTTTAGCCTCTATATGCAAATTAGACATTATCTAATTAAATATGCACTATTTTGAATAAATTTCCATAACAGAAATTTCAACACTGGATAAAACCGGGTTCAAAGTTGCTGACATATTAGAGTTAAAGGATTATACAGAGGGGATTTGGGGTTTCTCTTTTTATCTCTCAGTAAATCAGAAAATACTGTCAACAGACAGAAAAAAATATATATTTAGGGAAAAAAATGTTACATAAATTTATTTGGTAATGAATCCAATAAACAACTTAATTTTTTCAGAATTCCTTTTTAATGGTTAAATAATACGTTAGTACAAAATGCATGTCTAACTAAAATCATGAAACTTAAAATTTAACAACAATTTATTCAAAGTTTTTTAGGGCCCTATGAAATCTGAATTATTTTTCCTAAATTCCATTTTATTTTTCCAAATTCCATGTTTTCTATATATTTTTTTATTGTTTTCTTGTTTTTATCATACTTTTGGAGTAACCAGAGGTTCAGTGTCTTGATCGGAGACACAATGATGGCACAGAAGTTCATTAATTAAGCCTTAAAGCTGTAAATGAAAGACCTACTCTTCTGAATGGCAAACGAATGCTGTTGCTCACCTCTTGAACGTCTCAGCTGGGTTTCTCTCGCACTCTCCCGACTGTAGTGCGCTATGGACCTCCAGCTCTCTCACTTTCTCCTCGTATTCCGGTACGAGTCCTGACTGGAGAATCTGAGACACCAGCCCGCAGACGAAGCCGCTCACGCATAGCGTGTCCGAGTCCTCGGCCCGGCAGAAGTGGAAGCCCAAGCAGTGCTGGTGCAGGCCTCGGTGGACGCCGTGAACCGAACTGGGCCACAGTAACTCTGTACACAGAGCCGTCTTCCCGCTGCCGGGACCGCCGACCAGCAGGACGCCCCACGAGCCGCCCTTCCCCGCCCCGCCGACGGGGTTGAGCGGCTCTGCGGTTCCCGGAGCGCTGAGGTTGCTGGTTTTCTCCTGAAGGCAGTGCTGGATCTTGTGGAAGACCCAGTCTCGGCAGTAGAAGCGTTTGCCCTGCAGCAGACTCGTCTGGGCCATGATCTGTGTCCTGCGGGTCAAGAGCGGTGTTCAGATTTTAATGGGCATGCTCAAACCCTGAGAGGGCATCTGCGTAGACACCCGTTCATCATCTCGATGAGTTTGAGTGACCCTTCCTCCCTTTGATGAACAGAGGACCAGTGGACTGCAGAACTGGACCCTGAAGGTGATGGGGTTTAATCCTCAGACCCTACACAGCGAAGTCTCCATCAAATCCATCCATATCTCTGAGATCACAGTGTTTGTCATAACGTAGCTCTAACAGACTGATGAAACACCCTGAAACAAACACCACAGTCGCCATTAAAGCCAACATGTAATGACAATTCACTCTGTTTACTTGTAAGATGTTATAGTGAACAATCAGCTCAAACTTGGCACTAGCAACACAATGGTCATGGGTTTGATTCCCAGGGAATGCATGAACTGGTCGTATGTACACTGGATAAAGCATCGGCCAAATGAGTAAATGCAACTGAAGTATTAATGAAAAACATGTTTGTCTTCATAATCATTAGGGGTGGCACGAGATCTCGCGAGAACGTGACGATATCCTCGCGCAGATCTTTCAGATATATATGCATTACACTGGCTCGTTCACAAGTGGTGGTATGTAAGATATTTTGTGTTCACATCAGGCAAGTGGCCGCATGATAAGCGGGAAAATTACGCAGCGTAGTCTTTATCCAGTCATAAAAACAGAATTCACAGTTAAACGCGGAATGTCACGGAATTTGTCAAATTTTGAATGAATTAATCAAAAGTAGGTCATTACACTTAAATCAAATCACGATATGGACTAGTATCTGTAAATATTAAGCCGCAAAAGTCGATTTAAATATGAATCCTGCATGTTCTGCCAGTCTCTGTTTATGAATGGCGCGGTTTCATTTACTACACACACACTGAAGCCGCCTGACACTCGCGGTGATTTCAGCGTCTGCCGTCTCACTAAATGAGGATGTAAACACATGAACAAAATCTCCAGAACTGCTCTGAGAGTCACTTCATGAGCATTTTAGCGTTTGATTTGAGTAAAACTAGCATCATATCTCATACACAGAACTGTAAAGGTATCCACGGCAACCCGTCAAAATAAAAGTCCGGTTTGATTTGAAGACATTGTGCCTATAACTATTTTTCAGTAGCATGTACATAGCCTACTACTACTACTAAAATGAAACAAACATTATTTTTTAAGGAATAATCACACAAAACATTTCTTCCATGTTTTAATTTTAATAGTAAATCCCCTAAATAATACGTTAGTACAAAATGCATGTCTAACTAAAATCATGAAACTTAAAATTTAACAACAATTTATTCAAAGTTTTTTAGGGCCCTATGAAATCTGAATTATTTTTCCTAAATTCCATTTTATTTTTCCAAATTCCATGTTTTCTATATATTTTTTTATTGTTTTCTTGTTTTTATCATACTTTTGGAGTAACCAGAGGTTCAGTGTCTTGATCGGAGACACAATGATGGCACAGAAGTTCATTAATTAAGCCTTAAAGCTGTAAATGAAAGACCTACTCTTCTGAATGGCAAACGAATGCTGTTGCTCACCTCTTGAACGTCTCAGCTGGGTTTCTCTCGCACTCTCCCGACTGTAGTGCGCTATGGACCTCCAGCTCTCTCACTTTCTCCTCGTATTCCGGTACGAGTCCTGACTGGAGAATCTGAGACACCAGCCCGCAGACGAAGCCGCTCACGCATAGCGTGTCCGAGTCCTCGGCCCGGCAGAAGTGGAAGCCCAAGCAGTGCTGGTGCAGGCCTCGGTGGACGCCGTGAACCGAACTGGGCCACAGTAACTCTGTACACAGAGCCGTCTTCCCGCTGCCGGGACCGCCGACCAGCAGGACGCCCCACGAGCCGCCCTTCCCCGCCCCGCCGACGGGGTTGAGCGGCTCTGCGGTTCCCGGAGCGCTGAGGTTGCTGGTTTTCTCCTGAAGGCAGTGCTGGATCTTGTGGAAGACCCAGTCTCGGCAGTAGAAGCGTTTGCCCTGCAGCAGACTCGTCTGGGCCATGATCTGTGTCCTGCGGGTCAAGAGCGGTGTTCAGATTTTAATGGGCATGCTCAAACCCTGAGAGGGCATCTGCGTAGACACCCGTTCATCATCTCGATGAGTTTGAGTGACCCTTCCTCCCTTTGATGAACAGAGGACCAGTGGACTGCAGAACTGGACCCTGAAGGTGATGGGGTTTAATCCTCAGACCCTACACAGCGAAGTCTCCATCAAATCCATCCATATCTCTGAGATCACAGTGTTTGTCATAACGTAGCTCTAACAGACTGATGAAACACCCTGAAACAAACACCACAGTCGCCATTAAAGCCAACATGTAATGACAATTCACTCTGTTTACTTGTAAGATGTTATAGTGAACAATCAGCTCAAACTTGGCACTAGCAACACAATGGTCATGGGTTTGATTCCCAGGGAATGCATGAACTGGTCGTATGTACACTGGATAAAGCATCGGCCAAATGAGTAAATGCAACTGAAGTATTAATGAAAAACATGTTTGTCTTCATAATCATTAGGGGTGGCACGAGATCTCGCGAGAACGTGACGATATCCTCGCGCAGATCTTTCAGATATATATGCATTACACTGGCTCGTTCACAAGTGGTGGTATGTAAGATATTTTGTGTTCACATCAGGCAAGTGGCCGCATGATAAGCGGGAAAATTACGCAGCGTAGTCTTTATCCAGTCATAAAAACAGAATTCACAGTTAAACGCGGAATGTCACGGAATTTGTCAAATTTTGAATGAATTAATCAAAAGTAGGTCATTACACTTAAATCAAATCACGATATGGACTAGTATCTGTAAATATTAAGCCGCAAAAGTCGATTTAAATATGAATCCTGCATGTTCTGCCAGTCTCTGTTTATGAATGGCGCGGTTTCATTTACTACACACACACTGAAGCCGCCTGACACTCGCGGTGATTTCAGCGTCTGCCGTCTCACTAAATGAGGATGTAAACACATGAACAAAATCTCCAGAACTGCTCTGAGAGTCACTTCATGAGCATTTTAGCGTTTGATTTGAGTAAAACTAGC